TACATACCACGCAAAACCTATGTACACGTATGGTCGTCTGTCTGCTGAATTTGCACCCCAATCGGCATCGACTCCATCGTACAAACTTGCACCTGTCTTCCTGTACAGCAAACCGTGTTGCAACGTGCTCTTGATATATCGTAGAATTCTTTTCGCTGGCTTCCAGTGCTCTTTTGTGTAGTTAGTGTTGAACTTACTCATAAAATTTACCGCATACGCTATGACTGGCCTCTTATACACAGCCAAGTACATGAAAGCGCTGATGAGACTTTGATAAGGAAATTCCTTTATAACGGCCCCGTTTTGGGTTTTTGGTTTTATGAGCTTGCAATTCGCTTCTATTGGTGTTTTATTATTATATGAAAACTGATTCAGCATAAGACCTTTGTGATAGGAAGATTTCGCTCCTCTTCAGATTTTGATGAAAATCGGCACCCAAACATCGTTTAACCTTTCCGATAACGAAGAAAGTTTATCAAAGAGCCCAATTTCAAAGCTACTATACAAGAACAAATCGATCATTTATTTGCTAAAGCATACGCAAGAAAACTCACTAAAGAAATTAAGGCTTTGGTATTTGCCCATTTTCTTAGTGCACAATCCAAACAAACCTAGAAATGTACGCATGCTGTGGGGTACAGCCACAAAAGTGAATGGAGTTTTAATGAAGGACTTTCTGTTCAGTGGTCCAGACTTGCTTGATTGAGATTTCGTTATTTTTTAGAGTCTGCAGAGTTGCGATATGCGTTGATATTGCGGATATTTCCATCGAATTAACGTCTGAAGAACAGATAAGCAGTCAGCAGCCGAGCATATGAGTTATGAAAGCATTAATATTCGGTTTAAAGAGCGCCCCATGTATAGCACATTTTATCCGTGACAAAAACGTGGACAGTATCAGTAACGAATTTCCTCGCGCAGTGGAAGCAGTAAAGAAAAACCATTATATAGATGATTACGAGATCAATCAACCCTTTATACCGACTAAGAGGGCTTCTTCAAGTACTAATGTCCATATTCGATCCATTGGTCTGATTCCAAAAGAGTCTTGCGATGTATTCGCATGGATTCGAACCCAGAGCAATGGCTGCGGGCTTAGGTATGAAAGTTCACGAAAAGTGTAACTATCAACCGTGGTTCAATGGACCAGAGTTTTTGATGTTAAGCTCAAACGAATTGCCGTAACAATGATTGGCTAAGAGAAGATAGAACCGATGCAACAGAAAGGAAGCATTATGTTTTACACATATCCGATACCAAATATTAAAATTTTTTTTGATTGGAAACGCCTTTACTGAACTGTAGTAACCTTTATACTATATATTGACCGATTGCACGCGTTCATAGCAGGTAACAAATCAGAAACCAATGAGCTAAGCGCTTTCTGATCAGGTATGCTCAGGACTCGGAATTTGGTACTGAAAGAAACTTATTAAAACTCGACAAAGATGACATGATCAGGAGCAATGGCCGAGCTGAGTTTTTAAATAATCACGAAGATATCATAGCTTTGCCCACAAAGAATTCCATAACCTTTTTAATAGTGCGCTGGACTCATGAACGATAATCAGATGCACGAGACAATAATTAATCTATTGCGTGGACAATACCATAAGAGTTTTATACTGCAAAAATCGCCAAAGTTGCCAGAAATGTAAAAATGCCGTTGTAGCACCATAAATGGCTCCCCTACCCGCTGCAAGGCTTGCCGCTTTCGGGGGCCGTTCAAGTATGTCGGAGTAGACTATTTCTTTCCAATAATGGTTATTTTTGGAAGGAGACGCGAGAAAAGATGGGGCGTATTGTTTACATGCTTGACTCCTCGGGCAGTGCATATAGAGATTACGCATAATCTAGAACAACTTCGTGTATAATGGCGATAACAGACTTCATTTCAAGACGTGGTTACCCAAAATAAATTTTTTCGGACAACGGCAATAACTTACTTAAAGACGTCCAAAAAGTTAATTTGTCCAAGGAACATTAATTTTCCGGACATCATTTCGTCCTTTCCACCGATAGCTGCAGTATAAGGAAACGTTTTGTCAGTTTTGGCATCGATGGATCCAGGAATATGCATCGATTATAACTCGACGTAGTAAGTGGTTCAAAAAAATATCCCCTATGCGCATTGGCGATATTATAGTTGTATTCGATCACGATTTGCCACGAAATTCTTGGCCTAAATAAATAATTATCAACAGCAAAAAGTCAAAGAAAAAACATATTGATATCTTTATCATTGGACAGCTATAAAACTTCTAGGATTTAAATATTGTTGAAATACAATAAATTTTGAATACGATTAATAAATTAAAAATGCCATATATTGGCCAATTTTATTAAATAAAAAAATTAGAAAACCATTTAACAACATAATAAATAAACTGTATAAATAAACGGATTCATATTTAACCGCCAATTTGCTGGTTAATTTTTAGCGAATTCTGTTCTGTGAAAACTCAATTCCCTTACTGGCTAATTTTTACTGACCTTACTTAACGAACACAGCTAATGTCTTATTTCGGGGAGACACACTACACATTTCCGAGAATTTTCTTGCACTTGCCGAAGCATTGCAGCTTTGAAAAAAAAAATAAAAAACAAAGAAATAAAAAAACATTGCTGAGTAGTAAATCAGACAAGTATTAGTTCTCAAATAGAGCCTACAAAAACAAAACTACTAAATTTATTAAATAAAACGACGTTCAATTTGTCTCTTCTGTCATTAGTTACATTTATTTTTGCAATTTCCGATTTTAGTTTGTTTTTGTATGCATATTTGCATTGGGTTGGTGAGTCTAATGATCTTTTGAAGAAGTGGTGTTTAAATTTGCATCAGATGGGATTACGACATGCTTCTCACATAAATGTATTTGTGTATATGTTTATGTAAGTTTATTTTTATACCCATTTACATATGCATGTACATCGTGCAATGTTATTAAACATTTACAAACTTTTGTATGTTTATATTTAAGCGTTTGATTTTTTTTACAAATAACCAATATCATCTCTTTGCTAAGCAATTTAATCATGTACATTTGTGCTTATGTAAGATGCATTTGTACATATGTATATAATTATGCTTCAAAGTCCAATTATTCAACTGTAATTATGAGTCTGATATTCGGGTATTCAAATCAAAAGAGAAATTGGAACTATTTTCTAACATATTTAAACATTTTTCAACTCACTGTTATCTAATTAATTTTACAAATTTTGAGTACAGTATAGATAAATGTTCTGGTATTGAACCTACGTATGTACGAGTATGTATGTACATAATTTTTCGGATACCACTAATTTTTTCGATTTAATCGATTGACGATGCTGCAAATGACCATACCTTTTGCAAATATATAGTTTTTTATTTCACAGGAAGCTTGCGATATTTGCCGTTTTGTGATTTATAAAGGTTATATGGAATGTTCATAGTTATGTGTACATATGTATGTACATACGTGTATATTGTTTATACTCACATTTGTAGATACACACACATATGTATATATGTATGTAAATTTTTGCGGTATGGAAGTCATTGAAAACTGAATATAATATTTTGATAAGCCAGATTATGTTATGTAGACAATCATTTGTGAATTTCCTTTATTATTCAGAATGTATGATCTGGAAGGGTGAGCCGAAAGTTTAATGTAGGTCGTACTTGAAAAGTTGCTGTTATTGAATGGTTCATAGTACATGTATATACACCTCTACATTTGCATGTATCTTTTCAAAATTTGCATTTTTTTTCCAATTTATTTCTTCAGGTTATTATTATATTCATCAATACATATGTTGACTTATTTCTAAACACTACATGAATTTTAATTTTTCATATTTACTTCTGAAGTCAAAGTTTAGTAGGTATTTATGTTTTGGATTTCTTTAAATATTTGCATTATTTTCTGTTTTGGAAATTTTACTTAATTTTCAAATTTTTCTTAAATCAGAGGAAATTTTTTGTATTTCATTTAATCTACTTATTTAATTAAAAAAAGAACAAAGTAACAATTTTTAACTTACTTTAATAACTAGGCTAATCTATTTTTTTCTATTTGGTGTCAAAACCACCAAGCAGCTGCAGATTTTTGTGAATGCAGTTAATCCAATGGTTGATCATAGCACACTAAAGTAGCATATCTCGCAAAAATCAACAGTTGGAAGAATTGTTATGTATTAGACTCCGTATTTGCTATATTTTTATAATAGACAAACAAGTTTTGTATAATTTTATACGCCATTTTATAACTTCTAAAATTGCAAAACATAAATTCTATTAGTTCTCTAGTGTTCAACGAGCAACATTGGTCACAGAAATTGAAATAACGTCTGATTAATCCACAGTCACTGAGCCCCTAACCTTAGCAGAGCTGGGTGATTTATAACCTTACTTATTTATAACTCTTAAGAATTACTTTTTGATTATTTTTAAATAAGTTAATTTAAGTGTGCAGATTTGTGTGTACTTTTTGTGTCATCTGAGTTCCGCGATCCTCAGACGAGAATTCTTATACTTAATTTTTTGGCATTTAATTATATTGTTAGTTACAAGTGCATATTATTGCCTTGTGAGTAAGGAGGAGGTACATAACAATGTATAACCACTGCTGCCATACATTTTTCTTTGGAGTAATTTGCGCTTAACTTTCTCTCAAATAACTCATTTGGTAGCATTATCAGGTTATTGTGTAACTCCAATCACTTCTTTAAATTACTCAATAATATCGTCAGTAATTTTTATATTTGCTCACCTCATAGCTTTTTATCTTAGAAAAATTATGTTAACAAAGCGAGCTATGAATTTCAAAATTAAGAACAAAATAAGTGTTATTAATGCATATTTTCATACATATATGTACATGTTCCTATATACTTATCGTAAAATGATATTTATGCATAATGTATATTAACATGTGCGTACATATATATGTAAAATAAATCTAAATATCAAATGATTGAATACAAAATTTTAAAAATGTAAAACTTTCATAAAGTATTCTGTTCTTTTATTATTCATATATAATGCGGTCAAAGTTTTTTATTACATAATTTATATTTTTATTACCTAATCTCTGAGCGAAATTAGTACGAAGGCTTAGTGCATTCATACCGAAATATACATATGTAATTTCTCAATCCGTGTGCCTTGTTTTGATTGTTTTTAATGTCGTCTTAGTAGCATTTAATTCTCAATCACATCCCAAGTTGGACTATATTTCAGATGTAAATTACCTTATTTAGTCAATTTCTTGCTTTGTGAGAATTATCGGCCTTACTTCATTTGAGAATTTATTGTGGTCGATTGCCTTTTTGATTAATTAATTTTAGAATATATATATTTTTTTCTTATGTGCATGCTCCGATGTACGTATGATAGATGCTCTACTTTTATTGTTGTTTCTATTTGCAATGTATGTATTATAAGAAACTTGTAGATGCATACACGTATATACATGTATGTAGATAGGCAAGGCCGTAAATTTGTTCAGTGTACCTTCTAACCACTTTTAGAAATGTCGAATACAAGACTAGAGAGCGACTTGTTTTTAACGTACTAACTAAAAACGAAATATTTAATGCATATATAATAAAATAATGTGGGTTAGTGTTATATCATAAATAAATCTTAATAGTAAGACATAAATATGTATGTATGGACATACACTTGATTGTATAAAAGAAGTTCGAACTTGCAATTTATTGTAGAAATAGTTTGAATGTAGTTTGAGTAAGGCTAAAATGTAACTCCTATTTTGACAGATCTTTTAGAGTACATATGCATGTTTATAACTTAATTAAAGGGTATAGAAAGTAAAAGAGCAGCTGAACACTCATATATGCATGCAAGAAATCGTTTTGATTAATGTAAATTAAACGTATGTACGATATTTTTGTATACCGTTAGGACCTTTAATTATGCATTTAGATGAATTAAAAGTACTTAGATATATACATTGTACCATATACCACGCGCTTGGTGTCCATTCAGATTGTTTTATATTGGAATGTTTTCTATTGTAAAATTAAATTTATTTACAATGCAAGCACATTTGCCTAAAATTAAATTTTAAATTAGTACGTTATATCAATCGCTCACTGTACCATATTCAGAAGTCGGTATTATTCGTCACATTTTCAGTATTGGTGTCGCCGGTGTTGCTGTCGCTAGTCGTAGCTAATACTGTAACTGGCACCAGGGAAAGGTGTGGTGCAGGAGTACCAGCGATTGTCATTGTTGGCTCTGTGTTTCGTCGCTTCATTTTACTTTTGTTTTTCTTTAACATGGTAGCCTTTTCATATAGCGTTTTCCAGTTTTCCAAGTTTTAATAATATAAATATGTAGATGGACGTACATAGTTATTTTTGTTATTAATTGCGATGAATGTGTAAGGAGATTTCGGATTTTACACAATGGTTTTAATATTTTTCCAAATATTCCATACCGTTCAGGTTTCCGTCCGATACATTTTTAGAAAAAAAATGTAATTTTTGAATTATTCATTAGAATTTACAACTGATAATTTTTTTGCTAGTCGATCAATAAAGTATTACTATTAACATATAAAGAAAAAGAAAACTTAAAGAAAGTAAACTTCAATTAAATGCTTATTATTAGAAAGCTATTAAAATTTAAGCGAAAAAAGTGCGACATTACAATAAATTAACGTTTAAGGTAGCACGAGTGTAGACTAGTTTTTGCTAAGACGGGAAAATTGGAATAGCGTAGCAGAGTAATGCAACAATTAAAAATATATTTCACCGAAATAGAAGCGCAACATTGCTTAAAACAATGAACAAAAATAAACATATAGAATATTTATATTAAATACTGTATTGCAAAAATCTATGTCTAAGAACTAAAAGTAAGATTGCTTTAAATTTAAAAATTCATTATATAAAATATCCTGGCTTAGATTGTATTTTGCAGAAACTAGTATATGTATGTTTATACAAGTGTATACACATACATAGATATCGTATAAATTCTTATGTATACATATATGCGCATGTTAATTCCCTCGTTATTGTTGTTGTTTTTTATTATATTCGAAACTATAAAGCTCCTCTAACAGAATCTCAATAGCTCTGTCTTTTCCACGTCAATCGTAGCTTTGAGTCAATAACAGACCTTTGCTCATCCCAGTTTGTACAGTTGTACAGGTAAATTCATAACAACATTGCTTCTTTGAGAGCGAAACTACGAAATGTCACTTTAATTTCTCTAAAGAACGCAATTTATGGATCACGTAAATGTACTTAGTGCTTTTTTCACCTTATTTTACAAAGGATCCACGAGATTCTCCCAATCCGATTCTGCACTTATTACCCTATGTAACCTGTTTAAAAAGTAAGTGGTAAAATGGTTTTCGTTTCTACAAGATTTTTGAATGACGCTATTTGATAAGTTGCACGTTGCTTTGCCATACTAGTATATACAGTAATATTTCAATTGTTGTAATTATCATTAAAAACGCGAAAGTTTGGGGAAGCATTCTATAGGCATGAGTCTCATTTTATGACGTAATATAGTTTTCTAAATTCTAACAATTTGTAGGTGATGCGAATCTTATTAAAAAATAACAGGTAATGTTTAATGTATGTATTGATGTACGTACATATAACACATTTATAAAACTTATATAATTTTTATGAAAGTTTTGTTGGAATAAATTAATGATTTAAAAATAAAATGAAAAAGTATACATATATTTACATATCGTGTGTAGTTATTTCACACTTATTTCTCTAATCGCAATATGCATAAAATGTTTTCCAGATATATCAATTGTTTTACGAATGACATATTCATTTATAATTTTCAAATATTTTTGCTATGTGTGGCTGGAAATTCTTCTGATCGGTTTATTGAAAATTCTAAACATTGTTTTGCTGAGTTTAACTAACGTCTATTTCTTTCTTAAAATTGTATATTGGTTTTGCTCATATTTACTAATAATCAAAGAAAACATGAAAACAAAAAACTTAGACCGGACGGACGCGATCTCTATGTGCCAGTTACAGCTTCGCGATCTCCATTTTCTGGTGTTGAACCCGCCTGTCCTTGCCCCGGCCCACTAATAACGCTTCCAGTGGTATTTATTTGGATAGTAGCCTGTGATGCTGCTACCGATGCTGTTGCTGATGCTGATAAGGTACTGCTTAGTACGGCTGGCGAAATATGCGGCTCAGTAAGTCGTCGTTTGCCTCTGCCTTTTTTCAGCATCGTGGCCTGTATTGAAAATGTGTAGAGAATGAATGTGAGCATGTTGACCAGTTAAACGAATAAACAATCGTACACATTGCATTTAATTTTTCATATAATAATCAAACGCGTTTTCATGAACTTTTTTATGAATACATTTTTTAATAACATTAAACATTTATAAATAGTCTAAGCAACGACATAGTGTGATAGAACTCTTCTGAAAATTGGTTTCTTAGTCACAGTCTTAACATTAAATAAAGTTAGTTAAAACTAAATTTACAGATTTGAGCGAAAATAATATATGTACGTAAATAAATAATTCACAAATAAACATTTTTCAAATACCGTGTTAATGTTTAATTTTGCTATACATATATGTATGTATGTATGTATGTATAAAGATTTGGCGCTTTATAACCGTGAATTGTTTTTAGAAAATTATTGGTTACAAAAAATGTATGTATTTACTATTCGTAGGTTCGGATGTGTTATGTGTTTTCGCCAATGCATTGCTTTTTTCATACGCGAAATCATTACTAAAATTTAATGCATGATAACATGCGGGAGGGTGTGGTAGGTGATAATGTGAGCAACTCCGAAAATGCTCGCCGCTATTATTAAAAATTTCTTATCCTTCATTTCGTAGCGCTTTCGCCATATTACTATTAGGACATTCCTGTGATGAAGAATATATTCTGTAATGGGAGCGACCATAACGTCCATGATCATGGTTTTAGACCTTCCTTCATATAGCCTAACGTACTCCTCATTCACACTAATTATCATTCTCTGATACATATTCATTAAAAATATATTATTTGAAATGTATTATATTATAAGTAATTTTGTAATATATCGAATGACTAAGTGGTAAATAATATATATTTAGTATATACGTATTATACAATTAATAAATAATTTATTAAGTATAATATATTTACTTATAATAAATATATTTTTCATACGAAGATGAACCTTAGTTTTTCTCTCCCCTCCTCCCTTCGGATACGTGGCGTTGGCGTGACATTTAAACTAAACCTTCCCTGCTCTTGACCGAGCTACGTGGCACATAGACGCTCCCAGTGTAAACCGATTGACCGAAACGATTGTTTAATATTTTTGCATTATGAAAAATTTGTATACATCCAGTGTGGCTTACTGGATCATATATATATAATTTGTGGCGTGAGGCATTGTGGATGCGATAGCAGAGTGGTTAGCATTGCGTACTATCCATTCGGAAGACCAACGCATTTATGATTTATTGTAATTTAACGCGAAAAAATTCCTATACTTGTTTTTATCTTCACTAAAGATTAAATTAGAGGTGACAATGATCCAACCATACGATAATGAAGTGGCCAAAACCATGGCTGCAGCTACAAGACAACTGGTTCCTACTTTATTGCATTTAAGTATTTTTGTTTTGATGGTTTGCTGCTGAATATTTTAAATTTCCTTGGTTTTTATTTAAAATCGGTGTTTATGGCTATGATATCAATAAAAGTCTACATTAAATGTAGTATAAAAAGTAGAAGCTAGTAGTTTTTCGTCTATAAAATACCGAACACTTTAGACACATTACCCCCTAATGTTATCTAGGTTTAATTAGAATTTCATTTCATTACAATGCCGCCTCTAATCAAGACAACATAGCATACTTTTAATTACTAAATTTATATTAAATGTAAGTATGTAGCCGATTTTTGTAGGTATGAATATTCTCGATTTTTTGCTCTCATTGCTTTTAAAAACGTAATAAACTTTCTTTAATAAAAAAAATCGAGAGTAAAGACGAAACTCAAAATAAGAGAGTGTTGGATAGGTAATTTTGAACCTATTTGGATATTAATATGTTTCCTTTTATATATTTGTTTTCTTAAGATCCCGAATAAAAAGATTTTCAGAGGCGTAATACACGGTAAAAAAAAAACGGTATGAAATTTTCTTTTGAATCTGTAAGCTTTATTCTTTCATTGCCCTCTCACTGCTCAGTGAAATGAACATTATCCTGTTCAATACAGCGTTTTTGAACATGGCCTTCAATATTACAATAAATTAAGTCCAAATACTGATCCTGATTGCGAAATTAAATTCCGTAAAGAACATATTGATTATAAATAACTAACGGTGAATCCGAAGAATATGGCGTAGCACTTAATTGAACCTGACTACTTTCAATTCTAAGAAGTTTACATTTTGCGTCAATTAGGGCATTTTATAGCTTGCATGCACCGAAAATTACAATCATAAAGAAGCGCAAATTACTCAAGTATCGTTTTTAAGCAAAGCTACATAAAGTTTTAAATTAAACTATAACACATTTTTACTATGAATGAAAAAATCCATGCAACAAATTTCAAGCAGAAGTATATTTGAATAAGATATATTACACTCACCTTTAAAGCAGATTTCAAGACTACAACGTCACCAGGGCTTTGCACCCAAGGCTCTCCATCGACTTGAACTGGCATATCCGAGTATAAATGAATTTTTATATGACCTCCCTATAAAAAAGTTTTATATATAAGTTTAATGAAATTGGGAAAAGAGTAATTAATGTATGTACAGATTTTTCTATATGTATTTGAGAATCTGAATGTCAGCGATGGAGCAAGAAATTGATTTCGGGAATAAAAAAAAATAATAATTTATATTATAACATTAGTTGAAAAATAAAATCCTAAATACACACGCTTCTTATGCATAGTTGGCGCTTACAAACGCTGAAGCGAACTTTCGTTAGGAGCTTTTTACTTCATGTTGAAAATACACTCGGAAGGTTTGACGTATCGTAGAGGTTAACAAGTATGGAATCTTGTGAAATTTGTAGGAATCTGTCAACTCTCATTTACCTGTCAATTTCAGAGCTTGCTGCGTCCAAGCTGAAATTAAAGGCTTGGAGAATAAATACAAAGCGAATGAAAGAATCAACGAGTAAGGAAATTTCGTAAAAAAAAGGAGAGTAAAGAATATGATAGCGCATCATAATAGAATGAGGGAAATTTAAATACGAAATGTCGAAGAAAAGGACGCAAACAAAAAAAATCGCACTTTCCATACTTGTAAACCTCTCAACCTCTACGATGGTTTCACCAATGGGTTTGACATTTCATAATAATATGAATGCCTTAAGTGCCATTAATTTTGGCGAAAATGGTTTCTTAGTATAAGTAGCTATCATATCGTCACCGTTTCAAAAAAGGAGTCACACACATTAGTCCGGTGACCTGAGGACAGTATAGAAAAACAGCGCCATCTGTCAAACCAAACATATATTGTTTTAGTTAAAAGCCAGATGGTGCGATTTTACACCGTTGTATTTTTTATGTGCTGCGAAAGACCGTATTTATTCGGATGAAATTGTTGAGCACTTTAAAACCAGCAGACGTCAACTTAGCTGAGATACCGCCCAATAGGTGCTCGAAAATTACTTCAACCGGATCGAGTTTTGCTGAAATTGGCGTGGCGATCATTTACATATAATATAATGGGATGGTACAAAACTTTATAATAAAGGTATGCTATGGAAAAATTATTTGAAATCATATTTTTAAGATTGCTATGTACAAACCTGGGCGATTCTCATTGCCGTTCGTATACCAGATTGTATTTGTCCCAAGTGCACAACACCTGTAACACCTACAATTTCAAGTACTCCATCGTAGTGATTTGGTGTCGAAAAATTATCATCCTTATCCGGCCCCCATGGGTTGGCGCCACTGCCCCAGCTACCCAGTATAAAATACATACATTTGTACATGTACTAATAATTACACTAACTTTGCGTCTTTATGTTTGCTTACCTTAAAATATTTAAGATTATAATACCCTCAACCGGTGGCAGATCTACCACTTTGCCATCGACTTCCAATTTTAATTCTTTATGCAGATCCTTAACTGTTTTACGACCAACAATCTTTCGTAAGCCCATCTTAACGTAATAACCTTTATTGTGAAGTCGCGAATTGAATTTATTAGGATTCTCTTCGCGTGCATTGTGAAAGTCTAGGCAAAGATCGGCATCAATTCCAATGCCAAAATAATTGTTCATGACAAATATTTGTGAGTTATCTTCATTTTGTGCTCCGCCACCTATGAAATAAGGGGAATATGTACATATGTTCATATATATGTTTGAACGATTTTAATATATGTATATGCATCTAGATTTTTTCGATAAAAGTTTTTCATAGAAATTCTGAGAGTGGAATGAAAAATAAAATTTATTGTTGATAGTCGATAAATATTTGTGGTGGTTACGTTACAAATCATAAAAAAATTACATTTTCTAAAAGTGAATGAGCGCAGCATAGCATGATGACATCACCACGAGTTTCGGCAACCCAAAGTCCATTTTCATTTAAATGCCAGGCTTTTATAAACAATAACTATGTAATCATTTTAATAACAATGGGAATGTGAAATTGGTATGCTCAAGAAACATTTTTTAATTATATCGAAAAAATTTAAAATCTTATAAACATTTAGGATTGTTATAAGTTTTCTTCTTTCAAGTCTAAATGCATGTGCTCAAAAATCGGATTTTAGCAAAGTTAGATAAGGTTTGCGATTTTTAAAGTTGTGGTTCATTACTTTAGTTTGTGTTTTTTTCCGAACAGTGGTTTTCGGTACAAAACATTTGGTGAGTTCTTTAAAACTATTCTAAAATAATGTGCATATTTTTTTATAAATCAAATTATCGAGTTCTTAAAAACTCATTCATATTCATATAATATAAAGTAATATTTTTTTAAAGAATTTTTGCTGGTATTACAAAAAATTGATTTAAAATAAAAATTGATTTTAAGATTTTTAAATTTTTAGTGAGCTACGGAGGCTTGTAAATTGGTGAAAGGAAAAATTATATCAATTATATTCTAATATATATGTACGTAGTATATAACGACTATTTGAAGGAAGAGAGGTAAGAAGAATATTTGCACACAAACCGATAGTATGTATGTGTAGAGAAAATATTTAAGTTAAAGGCTATTTATTATTTTTTTTGGTTGGAGTGTAGTTGAAGTTTTCCATCTAAACAGATAAAGTGATAAACTGTTTATATTTATCCCTAACAAACATTTTTTCCATACAAAGATTTAAATTTATTTATAAGGTGATAATTATAATAAGTTTATCAGCTATTTAAACGTTTGAATGAAGGCCTTTATGAAAAAAAGCTGCCAATAACTAAAGAATATTTATAGCCGTCAAACGAGAAAATTATTATTATGATTTTTTTAATAGTCTTCTAAAAGAACAAAGATTTACATATTTAGAACTTGTTTTGAAACTATTTGCCTCTTAGATTTTAGATTTTCACGATTGATGATTGAAATATGAAACTGAACATTATTATAGAGCTTCTTCGATTCTTTTAAATGAATTCCGAACAAGAGGTTTTTTTTGAAATTTTAAACCCGAGCAATATTTAAATTTGTGCATCGTCGTCGCTCCCGGAAGCTTGAGCATGCATTGTTGTAATTGTGACGTTAGCAGTAACTTTGCTACGAATTTGTATTGCGACTCTTTTTGTCGCCACCTAGTAAATTATAGAAATCGAAATTCAATTTGCGTACTCGTCCTATAGTTCTATACATTTAACCTTCCTAACTTCTAATTACCACTCCACATCCATTCTCATTAAACGAGTACCTTAGCTATTTAATAGAATCGTATTAAAATCTTAATATTATTTTAAAAATCAATCAATTGTTTTTGTTGACAAAAATTCAGTCACATGATTACTGTTCATCTGTTTGTGGTACTTGCACACTAGCTTTACTGTCTGAAAATTTCTCAGCACGAGTTTACAACTTTCTCTCCCAATCAAGCGTCCAAATTACGCTTTCTCCCTCCTAATTTTACTAAGTTTTCGCCTCAAGGAACGCGATTTAGTAATATTCAATAAAAATTGTTACTGCCCATCTAGTCAACAAACAGAAATATGTTTATGTTTGTACATATCCAACATGTTTGTAAAGGGCCATGGTTATCAGTCATAAAATAGCCAAGCTGATAATTTAGCGCGATGAAATAATATATTGGTGTTTTTTAAAAAATTCAACTCCTATGTTTACAACAGTTTTTATATTAATTTGAATCGAGTGTGTAATTTATTCTCAATTGCCATGCGAATTACGACCAAATTGTGGGTTTCTCCAATTTTTACTGAAAATTAATCGAAATCAGCTAACAAATGAAAAGGAAAAAAATCACATCTAAAAAACATAACCGTTTTAGAGTTAAACCTTAACGTTATTTGTATATTGAAAATAAAAATGATTATAAATGTTATAACGTTCAGGCGGATATTAAACGTGATGAAGTTGTATGCAGAGGATGATAACATAATTTTTATTGAACGTGTTAGTGTTGATCTAATGAAGAATACCTTTTGCACCTTTAAATCCATTTCTTTAATAGTAATAAATAGTGTATTTTTATTTTGAACTTTACCGGCGGCTATACTAGACTTATACCAATTCAATCCAACATTTTATGCACTTTTGCTAAAAACTTTAATTTTTCTTGTGTTTTCCAAAGGAACGAAAATATAGAATTGGGTAAATCGCGTTTGTAATAGAGAGGACGAACAATGTGGCTGAGTTCCAAAACATTAAAATACTTTGGAGTGGTGCGGTATGCTACCGTATCAATATAATGCAACCTTTGAATAAACTTTGAAAAAAAGGTTGTTTTCTATTGACATTTTGGGACACATTTTATACAAATTCATGCTTTGAAAATATACAATATATATATATATATATAAGGTTTACCGGAAAATTCTGTCGGAATCTGTATATGTGTACATACTGACGTAGTAAATAAACTATAACAAAGTTGATTCACATTAGTCTTAAGTGTGAAGCTATAGTATACAAATGGCGACTGAGAAATTTTAGTTATGCCCCTGTATTTTATACGAATTTCAACAAGGAGGAAATGTTACCGAAGCATTTAAAAATTTAATAAAAGTTTGTATAACGTACAGTTTCTGATATCACATGTAGAAGATGGAACGAAAGATTTGAAACAGCAGATTTTGAACTTTCAGTTTCAGCATTTGGGAACATGATCTCAGCAAGAACAGTATAAGAATTTTAATTTTTAAATTCGTTACATATATGTAAGTATGTATACATACATTTTCATATTCAAATGGATATTGGAAGAACAAAAGACATATGCTCTAATTGTGAAATCTACATCACAATTTTTCTATAAGCTGAAGATACAATAGCGCTTTTGCAATGGCAGTTTCTAAAATCAGCGGTTGCAGCTAACAACGACTGTCACTGCAATCACATGCGGCTTTGGCATATTTGACATTTATTTATTTATGTGCTGGCGGGAACTTTACAAAAATATATATTAAAAATTTCCGCTGATAATAGAAGAAATATTGATGTTAAATTTAATGCAGTTGCACTATGTGTACAAAATGTACAGAGCACAAAGAATTTGGACGAATGAGATATGTAAATGTATACAGAAGAACCAAATTGAAACACGCCTAAATAATTATAAATTTTGAATTAATCTGCAAAATACATACATATGTTCTCACATGGATAAAGATATAATGATGACACAGAACCAAACGGTATGGGAGTATAAAGTGTTGTTCAGCAAGGTACTTTGCTAATTGAAAACAATAACTGGTGAAGATGAAGACGATATTCAAGTTGAAATCGCTGTAAAATTGCCTTTAGCGAGCATTGGTGCAGCCAGAGAGGTCGAAGAAAAAATGGAGGGGCTGGGAAGGGTGATAAATAGCCGTTAATATTTACAAAATTATTTTTCTCATTTTAATACTTTTAAGAAAGCGCATCTTTATCAAATCAAAGCGAAAACTGGAAGGTTTTCCGAAAAATTGTGACGGCTGACTTAATATTCCAATTTAATTTTTATGGAATAAGTGAAAAGAGAGCTTTAATTAAGTTTAAACTCATAAACAAAGTTTTGAGCGGTAAGAAAGGTACCATCACCTTAAAAAATATCTTTCGTAAAAATGAGACTAAGAATGGAATTATAAGTATTAAAGGAAAATATTTTATCTTTTATATATTATATTATTATAAAAACTGGATGTACCTGAAATGCTTTGATAGTGGTAGTTTAAAGCTATTTGGAACTGAATTTCATAGTATTTTTTTGTTCCTTTGTTTTCAAAACTGATATACTTAATGTGAATTGTTATTATTAATATTAATATTAATATTATTATTATTATTGAAATCAAGAATGAAATACATAGATAATTTGTATTAACTATTTATTAAAAAATAAAATATTTTGTTGGTGTTGCTCTCTAATAGTTTTTATAAATAGGCTTTATTTAGTGATTTTTATCAGTTTTTCAATTGTTCCGTATATAATGCTTTGCTTTATATACAATTAAAAATTATTTTTTTATTCATTTCAGTTATAAAGCCTTAAAAATAGCTTATATAAGTTCTGATTCTTAATTTTGTGAATACTTAAAAAATCACTTCTAAAAATCCTTTATTTAAATGCTTGTACATGCCTTATTCAAAATGGATACGAATGAGATAGTCATAATGTATTCATATTAAATTAGTCCATACGAAAGAGTGAGTAAAAAACTCAGACATACAGTACATATCCCTTAGTTTTTTACCAACGGTCTGCACATTATAAAGGAAAGTTTTTTTTAATTTATAAGGGATACCATCTTTTAGTCATATGGCTTATATAAAGGTTCATATGTATGTGTGAACCATACTGTTCTTGCTGGGATAGATCGTCAAAGTTTGCACAGTTGCATTTAGGAATGCGTAATAATGTAATTCACGATGACGTGGAAAAGTCGTATAAAAGCCACACTTTACTCAACTCATGTCGCATTTTATAATTTAATATCTGTAAATAATTTTTTGCCCAAATAGCTCTTTAGCATCGTCGCAAACCAAATATAAATTTAAAAAAATTCTTAATTGTTTTTATGGGAAAGATACGACCAAAAGTGATGTCAGTTTTTAATATCTGAACGCTCTTTAATTACAATATATTAATATGAGACTATAATAATAATGTCAAAAACGTTACAAAATTCAAATGAATGAGCACTATTTGCAAAAATTTAATATAAATATCGATATTTGCAAATTTACTTTATTTGGATAATGGTTGTGGAAAAAATGTGTGTAAAAATTCAAAGTTGACAGTGAAAAGTTTGCAGTGGCTTATTGTAAACAAAAACTTGAAGTTTGTGTGAGTGATATGTATGCATATATTAAAAAATATTAAAAAAAAAACCGAAATAACGCCCCACTTCATAAATTAAATGGTAACATTTTTGGTGAATTAATCGGAAAGTGACAACAGTATACATAACTAATACATATATAAAATGTAAAAATAATGTGATAATGTATAAAATTTAAAATTTATGTTGTTCAAGTTTACATTTTGTTCGGCTCAAATATTTTATATATATATATATATATATATATAAACTTTTTTTAGATAAAATTAAGTCTCGTCTGCTGTAAATATAACGACATTGGAAGAGGTGACGTCAATGGTTGACGAACCGTTTTATTCTATAAATCTTGGTAAGAACCTTAGGTACATGTATGTAAACATTCAAAATGAAATGTGGAGAAGAACTACTTAAAAATATTTTCTTTGCGCAAATACTCTCCCAAGTTGAAACTGATCGAGCAAATCCTAAGCTCTACGCAGAATAGAAGTTTATTTACATTCAAGATTTATTTTAGTCACGAGTCATATTCACAGAAAGTCTCGATGAAATTTATAATATTACTACGGCAGCTATCCTTCAATTACCATTAGTTATTATCATAAGAGAGAAGTTGTTCTCATTCACGTCAGTATCGTATATTACAGATAATTATTCAATTCACACTTTTAACAAAACGAACAATAAAAAAGTAAACTAGAATGATAATATACACCCGTCGAAGTAGCTACATATATACATATATATGTATATATGTATGTAGGTATATCAGCACATGCGTGAAATAATAATATTTCTTGAATGAGTAAACGCAAAGCCAGAGTAGAGTTTACGAAAGTTATTAGTATGAAAATCAGCACTGGATTGTTTACCAAAAGTTTCACTACCTAATCATTTTTAACTTTCCGTAAGCAAAAAAACCATCTCAAATGATACAGGCAGCGGGTAGGACAATATGGGAAAATACTGTAAAACTTAAGAAACAAATAAAAATATAATCACTATGGCAAAACTACAAGACGTGGAGCAAAGTTCAAGTGTGGTGCTTCAGCGGCTTGTGGAATTCAATAACTTGCTAAGGGAACAGCTTAACTGCCCTACTCTAAACGAAAGTCTCCCTGGAGATTTCCCACTTTTCCCTCTTCTCTTATCATAAAAAGATTTTGCGGATTTTGTATTTTTTCCCTTTCCATGTATTCTAAACAAGGTTCGAAAATAGGAAAATTTCCCAGTGAATAAAGGTGAAATCACTAATGAAAAAAATAATTCGGATTAGTTCAATATTCGGCGAGAGTTTTTCCACAGAGAAGTTGTGTCGGAGTTTTTATAAAAAAAAATAAGTATTTAATAAATATAACACAAATAATCGTATTAACGGTTTCTTTTCAGAAATGATCGTATTAATGTTTTCTTTTGGTCGAAAACAGCGAGTAAAGTGCAGTTGCAGTTGCTAGTAGAGCTGATGGAAACTCAACCGGCTATAGCTCGAGGCCATTTAAGGGTAATAAGTAGAAGTTCGACCAATTTTGGGAGAAGGAGGTGGGCCTAATGCATAACGTAAATTGTTCACTTTCGAAGGCGAAGGGATGAAAGGGTCGTTGGAATGGTTTCCTCCGAGGTAGTTTGGATTGCAGGAGCATGGAACCTGGAAAATTAATTTAAATAAAAAATTAAGTTAAGTTTTCTAATTGCGGTTGCACTCGGCAGGGAATGTCAACCCCTCCAAGTATACTTCTGACATGAAACAAAGCTCCTCATAAAGAACCCATCAGACGTTCGGAGGCGATATTGTATGAACTGTAGGTCTTCCATTTTGTTGGAAAAACATCAAGACGAAAAACCACAAATTGGATGAGGAGCTCGGCCAAAAATCGCTTAAGCGGTTATAAAGCGCCAATTATTAATACACGTATAAACATATTTTCATAATTCTAATTTAATTTTTGTTTTCAATAACAATTGTTTATTTCGCCAAATTATCAAATGTCAATAGTTCTGTACGTTAACTATATGGGTAGTAACAATTTTTACCGAACTTTACTAGACTATAAGAAAAAAATATTGTTATCTTTTTTGTTGTACGGCTATAAAGCAATTCCCAATTTTATTGTAACATTAATTAGCATAAAAAACTTGCGCTCCGCGTCGGCCGTTGTTTGCTTAGAATTTATGATAAAACAAAGCAGTTTGCGCAGTTTGCCTTTGTTCGCACATCAATAACTTTACCGATGCATTTTGGAACATGATACATAGTCGAAGTTTGCACAGTTGAGTTTTGTGCATCGTCGTCGATTCTGGAAGATTAAGAATCGATTATTCTCATTGTGGCCGTGACAGAAACTTTGCTTCGAATTCGCTATGCGGCTTAACAAGTGCATTTACTATTGTTGGAATCACTGATATTTTTCAGTTAATTAAAATTATTTTAATTTTAAAGCAATTTTGCTTTGTTGACAAAAATTCAATGATACGATCACAAATCAGGATCAAATTTTCCCAGCACGAGTGTGAGCATGTAAAAGACGTTTTTAATACGAGAATTTGAACATGTAATATAGCTTAATGTCACCTTCAAAGCAGGTAAGAAGGAATCAATTTCATTCAATTGGGGGAAATAGTTCAATTTTATATTTTCGTGCACTTAAATCATACAATTTTAACAAAAATGTTAGTAAAACATGATTTTGATAGTTGTAAAAGCCTTTTTTTTATAGTATTATGAGCTTTAATTGGTTTTTTTTTTATAGATATACATATGTATGTTCAGATCAAGAACAACAGCACTAGACTAATGTGCAATAGTGGCCGCCAATATGGACATTGAATTGAAAACAATTTGGAATGATGTTGCAAATGTTCTAAAAGCACTTGGTCCACCAAGAGAAGGTCAGACAAGAAGGACACAAGGGGCTCTGCAAAAACAGTTTTATGAAAAAAGCAGAAGACATAATGAAGCTATGTTCAAGAAAATGGAAGAAAGTGTCATCTAAATGAATTATTTATTTGTGAAGGGAGTGAAGTGTACTAAATTTTTTTAATAAAACAGGAAATATAAATTACATTATTTGTTTTAATTAAATTAAAAAAAAAAAAATTATTTATATTATTTTAATTTATTCAAAATCAATTTGTAAATTAACAGCTTTGTTGAGTTGGAATTTCACAAATTCTCATGAAAACAACTGTCTTCGATAACGTTTTCTCTCTTCCTCTTCTTCTTTCGATTCGATCGTAACTCAGAATACCTAACTACGACTGCAGTTGAAATGACGAGCTGAGTTATTAGCTGACTCTGACTGAACGGCCGATGGATTCTTATGATGAGCTTTTACACATTCTGGGGATTGACATTAAATTAATTTTATATAATTTTTGGATGTTGGTCGGACTCGATTTGGCCAGTCTGTCGAAGTTTTGTGCTATTGCTTGAATTTTCGCACTTCGGAATATTTGGAGCAATAAAAACTTGTGAAGAATACAAGAGGAGTATGATTTGATGCCCCCAATATGAGTTTTCGATTGGGCACTGGGTGGGAATAGAAGTGTATACAATGTGGCCATCTTGCAGATGGAGCAGCATACATTCATTAAAGTTTTGATGTGACCAGCAGTAAGTCTGGACCGACTTGCACATAACCAACTGATTAAGTTGATCCGAACTTATTTGTTCTCAAAGATACAATAAGGGCAGCAAAAATATTAAATAATCCCGTGCTAATTCTCATGTTAACAATTTTAATGTTAACAATTTTAATGTTAACAAGAGTGATGTTGATTATTGTACATACTCATGTTAACTGTTACACTATTTTCAATCGCACACATGTAACTACTTAAGTGGGTTTAGCAAGCAATAATATTCATATTATTATTATTGTTGCAATGTTATTACCAACTCGTACTCGTAGTACTCGTTTCCTAAGCAACAATAGCATTATAACAGCAATAATAATATTATAAATAATAATAATAATATATAAATTTATCAAAAAAAAAAAAAATTAATGGTAATTATAACTTTTAGATACAAATAATGAAAAATTTTGCACATCAAATGACCTGAAATTTCAGTCGATGTTATGGCCGGTAATTGATGCTGATTTGTTTGTTGCGATAGATGTGCTTGGTGAGCCTTCTTCTTCTTACCCGTTGTGTTTGAAGGGGCCTTAAGGGCAGGCTCTTCTGGCTTATCTTCCGGATGGAATACCACAGTCCAACGGTCCAGTCTAATCTCTTCAGCCTCGATAACGTCACGCAACAAATTTAGGGGATCTTCACCACCTGTATAGCCGGAACCCCAGCAGAGTACTCGTGCCAAATCATTACCTATATATGTTTAAGAGCATAACAATTATTAATAATAATTGGAAGATGTTGTATTTCTTGTGTCAGTTTTACTCACCAGTACCCAAAGGAACTATAGCGCAAGGTGGGCTTGAACATTCTGAATCCTGTCCCACATTGTCCAAGCATTGCAATACCCAGCCGATGGTACCATCGCCACCACATACTAATATTTTATAGTTCGCGATCTGACGAAATACGTACAATCTAGTAGACAAAAGTGAATAGGTTTAATGGTTGTACTCAATCAATTAGTACTTTATTACCCCGGAAGTGGTCCTCCATTATCTAAGTCGAATACTTGGTATGGATTGAGAAGTTTCCTGAAACTCGAAATCAGTTCAAGACCTTGGCAACCACCCGATTTAACATTAACAAATATAAGTAATGGTCGTACATCCGGTGGGACCATGCTTGGTTCAATATTTGGTAATAGCATGACCAACAGTTTTTTATCTTCTATAATAGTTTCTCGTAAGTTATAAAAGGCTCGAACCTGGTGTAGTGAGAATAAATAAACGTAAATATTACTTTCCGTAAATTTAAATTAAAAAAATTGCTCCTATTCGCAAGTACTACCAAGAAAAAAACGTCTCCTTTTGCAAACTTACCGCCTTTTGAGCATCTTCGAATGTTAATACCACTGAACCATATTCATAGTAGATGGGACCTATGCTATTAAATTTGTTTTCATCTGTAACATATTTATTTAAAATTTGTTCATAGTTGCGTTGTGATAATCCTGGAGGTAAATTTCCCACAAACAACGCGATATTCGGACCGTGCGGATCCTGTTTATGTTGCAAATAAAATCGCATCAATTCCATTTGTCTAATGGACTCCTTGCCCAATTGTTTTATAATATCCCATGGACGTTCATTCCACGCTAATATCCGCTCAGTGACTCCACGATCTAGTAATACCTCAGAACATCTGTGAGTTTTAAATTTAATTGTATATATAAAGTGTATTTTCCCAAAAACAGATAAAAAATACAACCTGTAATCTTGCATTTGGTTATCATGAAATCCAAATTTATCGAGAGCATCGCGAATCAAATCCTTAATAACAGTAGTATTTTCTACAGGAACATTAACATATGGCTCTTCCAGGGAGCATTGCAATTTACCCGGATAGACACGAACGTGTCCTTTGCCTTTATCCAGAAACCTAAGATATATTGCAGGCCTCTTGCCCTCTAAATGTGTCAGGTTCATTACGGGCGTTGGATCTTGCAATGGGGTGTCTTCCATTCCAGAAGGAGCATACAAGTCAGTCAAGTAAAATGACTTTGTTTACAAAAAAGATGAATAAAAAATCACATTATTTATTATTACATATAAATTAGTAGATCCAATTTTAAGTCGAATAATTATTAAATCAATCACTTACGCTAGATTCTCGTGTTATATGGAATGCACGTAACGCTGTTGTGAGTAATTGTTCTAGTGTATACGTCCGGGATACACTAATTACCCTATATAGTTGACGTCTGAATGAATTGTTGCCATCGAAAACTTTAATCATTTCTAAAATTACATTTTATTAAGTCTCCGTGAAGACACATGTTGCCACCCTCTATTTCAATTCTTACCAATGTCTTTCTCTTCGCTCTCTTTCTCTTTTTTTGTTTTATCCTTATCAGATTTCTCTGATTTGTGCGAAGAGGATTCGGGGCGATAATGTGAAGACGTGCCGCTCCCACCGCTAACTGCACTAACGTGCATTGCATCAATTTTAAGTGGCTCTTCATCTTTAAAACGTGGTGCATCTCCGCTGCTAAACTCTTCGGATATACTTCGAGCTGTTCGGTGGTTGAAGTAAAGTGTTAAGGAACATTTTAATAATACTCCTATGTGGCTTTATTTTGAATGTAAGTTCGGAGTTTTCATTATACATGTTTGCAAACACGATAACATACATTTACTAGATACGAACATTTCAATGGCGTTAGTATATTTAATAACTAAAACCAAAAAATTTTAAATACCTTAAGTCAAATAGACAAATTTGCCTATCATATTTCTATTCATTCAATGGAAAGCTAATAGTACCAATACTAAAACCGAAATTAGGATTTATACCGTTAAATACTAGTCGTTTTCTATTCATAGTTTAACAATTTTGATTGTTTTTATAGTACTGTTTACTTTATTGTATTACTCGCCAAATTCATCATTCATTTTAATACATACATATATGTACATACATTCACATACTTATACTTGTTCCACAATTAATCTTCAAGTTTTGAGAGAATGTCTATGACCACGAATTAAAAAATGTGTTAATATTGAGGCAGTTTAACCAAATAATTTTCCAATTGAAGTTGAACTTTTGATTTTAATTTATGTTAGTAAACCTCATGTGCAGCTTTGGATGAGTTCATGACATATAGATGTGCGATATGAAGTAAATGATGCATTATATGTATAGGTTACATGAAATAGTTATAAATATTACTGTGAGTTTTAGTAAATTGAATAAATAATGAACTTAAGTGAATATTACTAAGCAGTAGATAGATAAACACAAGCAAATTAGACGTGAAAGCTTTACTTTCATGGGTGGTGTCATCCACCTGTAAAAACTGTACAGTAACCTTAGCTGTCCCAAAATATTTTCAGAATATTAGAGCATAGATAAGTGTAAGAAGAAGACAGAGAAAACCAAAGCGTGATTGATGCTTATATTAAACTGTATGTAATATGTAAGAAATTTGGACATTTCTTTCTAATATATGTATATGTAAGTTTACAATCAAATTTGTAGGTGCACTGTTATAAAAATTAAGTATCACATTCTCTTTTGAGATCAAGATCGCTAATTCTGAGAAAAAAGATCTAAAACTTCATTGGGCGATAAGTTCTACCGAATTAATATCCACATACGAGTATACTTGCTGAATTACTGTCGTTTCTAGTTCTAAGTTTCACAAAATTTCTTAAATTCTGAAGGGAAAAATTCTCATTCCCCCATTGTTGTTTTTTGATTAATATAATTATTTAGCAATTTTGTTGTGGTAAAGTGGACTTTCGATAATTTTCATAAGAAAATATTCAAATATTAAGACTCTAACGTATTGTTGAAAAAGTTTTAAACTTTATATGCAAATATTTATATGTTATTTGTGGGTAATAATTTACGTATTTAGGTGCAACATTCCAACCTTGGTGCATGTAAGTGTTTATGAGACATTACTTTGTTCGGCTAAGAGTGAAATAGTTTTATATAAATATATTTGTGGTGTCACTGGTATGTGCCAACCCTTTGGATCAGCATGCAGCATCTTTCAATTGATCGCCTTTGCATATAGGGGCAGAAGGATTATATATATACAAAATTAGCGCTTTGTAACCGCAGAAGCGATTTTCGGCCGAAAACATTACGTAATTTATGGGCAAGCCTTGTAAATAATTGTACAGTAAAGTGTTAAATAATAAATGAAATCGCTTAATACTCGTATTTATATAAATATGTATGTATAATATAAAAAATGAGAAACATAATAATGAAGCATTTTAAATACATTTGAAACAAATTTGGTAATGATTAGCAAACAAGCCCATAATGAAAAATAACGGGATTTCAAAAATCACCTCTGCGTTTGTAGTAACGTTGTTTGCGCCACTTCAGCGATATGCCTTGCATGCGTCGCAATAACCGTCCAAAGACATGTTCGTCATAGTCACTAATGCGAGAACGACTACTGCCACCATCACTAATATAACCTCCTGCAGCATCATCACTTATACAACTATAAGGTCGATCACTTAAGGGCTGATGAGAATTTGTCGGGCTGCTACCTTCGCTACTATGCGTTTGGGTGGGTACAAAATCGTCTTCGAATTCCTCCTCATACTCATCATCACCGTCGGTATGTTCGCGTCGCTTTCGTCCACTACGCACATCCTTCAGTGTGAAATAATCATCATCATATTGTTGGTAATTGCCATCTTCGTCTTGAATTGTGATCTCTATACCTTGCATCGTGGAATTTTTACAATGTGCATTCTTTGTAGATTCAGAACTTGTTTGACCTGTATCTCCAAAGTGTTTTTTCGAGCGACGGCGGAAAAGTCGCGTGTATTTTTTTTTACGTGAACAATATGAAACTTCTGGCTCTTGGAATGATTTACTTCGGTTCACTTCCAAAACACAAATTTTCGTAGGATCCACTGTCGCAGACGAATATGAGGAACAGTCGCTAGAATTGGGCGAGCAACTTAGAGATTCGCCTTTACTTGAAACGCCCCTAAACGGGATGAGGTTATAAGTTTTTGCTTTCAATGAAGCAGCAGTCTCAGGTAGTTTTTCGTGCGTGTTGCTTTTACCATCTTTGGAATCCAATGGTACATTGGTAACGAATTTTTGTGGCGAAGTGAATTGTACACTATGAGCATTTTCATGTTTTCGGCGTGTTGTAAAACGATCATCCAGTGTTGTAACACTATTACTACTACTACAGTTTATTTTAAAAATCTGATTTAATCTGGACTCCTTTTCAATGTCATCTAGTGTAGTTACATCTTCGCACGTATCGGATGTTTCACAGAGGCATTGATCGTGTCGTGGAGATTTTCTCGTTTCAGTTTTATCCTTGTCATGAAAGTCATTTTCCATAAATTTTGCTGCTTGCCGATGTTTTATGAAATCTTCATCCACTGATTTTATTTCACGCTGTTCCCACTCATCACTAATATCCTCGCCGCTTACATCGCACACTCCTATATCCTCCTCATCGTCGTCAGTATTGTTGTATAAGTGTTTGTGCGTACTTGACTGCGTACGACGTAGAAAATTTGGATAGAGCAAATGGAGCGAAGAGGTTATCGATGGAGACTTTTCAATATTGCACTTTAGTTCTTGCTTTAATTTCGTTTCAATGGTCGTCTTTATAACGCGGATTTCATTTGAAGCTCCCAATGATTTCACGGGTTTAACTTGCTCCGATTTATTTTCTGTATCATCGCCATTTTCCTGTTCCGAATCAGTAGCAGTTTTATCACTTGCTGTTAGCCTTCCTGCTGTGCTTAGAGTAGCCGCTGGTGATATCGAATACGATGTAATAAGTGGAGTGGAAGATGAAAGTAAAAAATTTCGTTTTGATTTCTCACGTCGTTGTCTTTCGACAGCTAAAATCTCTCTTAAAGTTAGTTCTTTAGCATTATTTCTCTCATCGAAATCGTTTGCTTTATTGTCTCCATTGTCGTTTAAGGAATCTACTGAGGGTGTACTTACTAGGCATTTTATTGTCCCCAAATCAGCTTCAGTTTCGATACGTTTCATAAATTTTCATAAAAAAGAAAACAAAATTCAAATAAGAAAAATAAAAAGGATCACAATGAAATGAAAACGAGCTTCTCTCCCATACTTTAATGTATCATGCAATGTACATATGCTGTTATGTATTATATGTATGTATGTAGGTGTGTACGTTTAAATATAATGCTCCAGCATCATCGAATTGTATGTACATAACTGACAATAATTGTTACTCTGAGAACATACATGAAAACAGGAACACATATTGAAAACATATCTCACACAAACACATATATATATATATATATGTATATGTATATGAAAATCATAAATGTGTAGAGTCAGCGAAAATGTTAGAAAATTTCTCTACTGAAGGTCAATGTATTGGACAATATTTCTCCGCAAAGGCAGAACTGTCTTTAAAAAAAACCCATATTAAAAAAATACAAAGGAAAGCACAAATTATTAGCTTGCAATCTGGGACCTAAGTTTTATTTCTGAAATAGATAAAAAGCCGTCAGAATAACTACGGAACACCTATTGCGACATGTTCCTGAAAACATACGCTAATGTCGTCATCGCGAACTGGACATACATATATGTACATAGGTATATTCTTAACAAATTAAACCTTAATTATGTAATTGTGCATTTAAAAAAAATATATATCATTAAATAAAAATAGCATGAAATAAAAAAGACATCAAAATTATTGTCTGTATGAAGGAAACTGAATGCTGATGGTGGTGTTATGACAAGTAAATGTACACATATATCACACATGAGTTCTTAAGTACTGAGTTTTAAAATTTGGAAGCCAGTCTGCAAGTGTGGTATTCAACATCTTAAGCAATATCAATAAAGATACCAATATTATTATTTTCATGGAAATTTAGCGAATAGAATAACAAGGTTAAGCAAGAGCCTAAATTAAAATATCTTATTTTTTTTTGTTTGTTATTAAACTTCTACAACGACGGCCGAGTATCATCTTTTGAGAGCTATCAGGTAATGAATGCGATGCTCTGGAGCTAGAATTAGCTTAAGTATTCTCAGGTTAAGTATTCTTGTACTGAAGAATGTCGTTCATTCGTGGCTAAATGTATATTGGGTTGTCCCAAAAGAAACCGGCGATTTTTTATACAGACCGCGTTGACAATTTTTTGAACAACTTGTAGCTATTTAATTAGCTTGATTTAGAAAAAAAAAGTACGCGTGATCTTATCTATATTTGTTTAGCGTATGAAATATACAAAAGAACATGCCATATTTTAATTTTGATATTTCCTTGAAGGAAAAAATGCAGCGCAGGTTCCTAAAAGGTCGCATAATTTATATGGTGATAAGGCCTTAATAGAAACACGGTGTTGAATTGGGTTTTTCAAGCTCCGTTCGGGAGATTTTTCACTCAAAGTTAAGCCACGTTCAGGTCGGCCCAGTGATGTCTGTTTGATGGGATTGAAAGGGTGTGGTAAATTTTTAGCTGCTTTCAAGGAACCAAATAAATTTGGATGTCAATCGTAATGTGTCATATTCTACCAGGACATTTCTAGACCGCGACATCTTTGGTCACTCGCCGAAAACAGAGAGAGCTTGATTGGGATCTGAGAAACGAGACTATAAAATTGCACTGGGTTCAGGTTTTTGCAGATAAAGTCCAGAAATTTTATGAGCGTCGAATAAATATGTAGCCGGAAAGAAGGTTAAAGATCATCCAACAAAATGTGATTTACATAGTTGATTAAAGTTCATTATAAAATTAAAAAAAAAAAACGTATTTATTTTCTTTTAAAAAATTGCCGGTTTCTTTTGGAGCAGCCCAATATTTTTATACACATACCTATTAATGTATAATATATTGCCATTGTTTTGAATAAACGTTAATTGGAAATTTTAGAGTAATACTATATATACATATATGTTTTTAATATTTTGTGTTATGTATGTACATCTATCTGCTGTATTTTACAATTTTTTGATCATTAAAAATCAGGAAAATTTATCTTAAAGTCATACAATTTTATTTACCATTACTTTCTTAATTATATGGGTATACTTACGGCAGGAATAATCTCGTACTAATGTTGTTTTCGACTTTACTTGTACGCCAATAATAGCTTCGATTGGCACCTCGGTGCGTGGTATAGAGACCGAATGAGGAGGTAAATAGATGGGTTGTAGTATACCAAAATTACATTCGGTTGTCAGGTACGTGCGACATCCCCCATGTGTTGTCATACCACACCACTCGCATCGGTAGCCTAAATATTTTATACATATACGCATACAAATATTTATTTAGAACATATTTTTATCATTATGCAGAAAATGGATATACATACAAATATATTATGCTGCGATTTTTACCTGTTAAGCATTCTGATGACCAACAAGTTTTCTTACAATAGGCGCATTTAGATGTCGGTGGTAGATTTCCTTCCCGCCAATGATGCTATTTATTACGTAATAAGTAAAAAAAAACAATTAACCACACATTTGACCAACTTTAATAACGATTACATTAATGTATTGCTTCAAAAATATTCTTACGAATAAAACTTATTTAAGCAAACGTATGTACAAATAAACATAGTCACCAGAAATCATCGAAATCATAGGACTAAATCATACGTGAAATTTAGTATTCTACACACGTATGTATAATACATATATGCAAATATATATTGACACCGAAAGTCATCGAAATCAAAAAACTTCATCACATAGCAAACATTAGATAGATTTTTCATATGAAAATGAATATTTAATCCTAAAACGCAAAACCATAAATTTCATATGGTCATGAAAGGTATTCGACTTCTGCATGCCCGAAGACAGCTCTTCTTTCTAGTTTTTTTTTATTTCAGTTCAGCTTTCGCACACTTGAACATATGTACATATCTGCAAATGTGTAATTCATTAATTACTCATGCTTTCGGAAATTTTAAGTTACTTCTTTTGGGCGCAGCGTTTTCTTTTCGGTTCAATGCCCCTATGTTTAAGAAATAATAAAATATCCGGTCTTAAGATTGTGTTTTCTAACCGAACAAATGTAAAACATCACTAATTTTCTCTATAAATATCTAAATGAATTATAAATGACGTAAAAAAAAAAACATTCCGTACCTGATGTTTAACACTCTGCAACTCTTTGCCTGGTACGTACGTCGCATTTTCAGTGCAATCAGGCACAGCAAAGTCTTGACATTCAATATGCGCAAAATATTCGCAAACTGTAGGCGAAAAAAATTTTAATTTTTTAATTATGTAAGTATATTTTTATATATTAATAAAATTACTTTCGAGTCATAGGTACATATCTAAAACTATTTCATATTAAACCAGTTAATTTTTTGTGTAAATTTATTGAAAAACAACATTTTTCTACACGATTAATATCAATAGCTGTATACACATACATTCGTAGGTACATATGCATATGCAGTATGTACATGTACATTTATAAAAATTATGGTATATTAAATAGTAAAGTATTTTATTTGCCTTAGGAACTTACTTAAGCAATGAACTGCTGGACTATCATCTAACCGCCTGCGGCATACGGTGCAAAATTTTTTTTTATGATGAGTTGGCTCAGACCAGCAATGTGCGACAGGGTTCTTAAAAAGTTAGATAAGGTAATTAAATATTACTTATATTTTTTGACTACATTTTTTCTAACGTAAAAAATGAATATAAGAATATAATAAAAAATTATACAACTCAACAATTCTGATATACATATACCAGTCCGCAGAGTCACATATCTAACTGTTTTGTTAAACAGAATTGTTTCACTTTGCCACTTATAAGGTATTCATCTTGGAAAAATATATGTATATCTTTTGAATTACGTATTCGTATATTCTCAATTTTATTATATATATTCTTTGCCGAACTCGTTAGAGTTTTCCAATTTCGATTATGCATCAGGGCGATTTTCTACAGTTATTATTTTTCAAATGTATAAAAGTATAATTTTTTTAAATTTTGTATGAACGCTTATATGTACATACAATTGTAGCAATTAGTTACTTACCTTTATTATACAGGGTGCAATGCCAGAGCATGGGGTAACTACGTTCGAGAGACAGCGATCATGTATGACGAAATTGCATACTAAATGCAACAACATAAATTAATAAAAAGAAACACATTAGTATCATGTCAGATGTTGTAATAACATCATACAGGAAAATAAATAAAAGTGTTTTACGGAACTCATTGGAACCGATTTGTTATTAATAATTTAGCTATTCCTTTTCGTAGTAGAAGATATTTAAAAAGTGAAAAAGTCATTCCTTCCATCAAATGAGGATAAAAATACCTAAAGAACGACCCCAAGAGTGCTTGATGAATGGGTTCCACACCATGAGTCACGGAAAATTATAATTATTTTCTATACATTTTTTTTTTATAACACAATCAATAGTTAGCTTCTCACCTTCACATATGTAACCAATCTGAATAATGCCCCAGATTAAATCCGAACAATGATGACAATATGTTGGCTTTCCAAATGTCTTCTTTACGAATGTATGTCCACCATCCGCCATTTTGCGATATATATAGGGTCACTTCCGAATGCTGGATGTATCACTCTATCGCTTTCACCGAAAAAGCGACAACTGTGGTGATCCACAATTTGCTGTATTCGGATTTTGTAAGGGCTTTTCAAAATTTTCAACGATCTGTTTAAATATTGTTGATGTTTGGTAGACTCAAAATCGAGCACATAGATTTTCTCCGTGTTTCTACTTGTTATTACCCTTTGCTTTTAGTAAAAATTATCGTATCGTCCCTGTTGTTAAGACATATTACAACTCTTTTAGTTTTAGTCATTCAGCTGCTCAACGTCAAATCAGATAACCTACAATGATTTTCGGTAATTTTGTTGCACTGGCTGGTACAGAAAGAGAATTCCGAGAACAGGTACGTTTGTTCTGTACCGAAATGTCTACAGTTCTTTTTAGGAGATGCCTTAGTAAATGTGTCAGTTGTCCGCGCAACTTGTTTTCTACTCTTCCCACCCTGCGCGTTTGAAAATATTTTTGTGTCAGTATATCTAATACGTCCTTTTTGACCGGTTGCCCAATTTTCCCGATCTGATGGTATTCTATTAAACTTTTGTTGGGCGTTTTTAGTTCTGAATTTTGAGTCAAACGACAGTGTTTTATCGACAAATTTCGCTGGATTCGCTTTTTGCGTTGCTGCGTTTGTGCTCGATAGTGATGACAAAATGGCGACGACGACAAGAGAGACAGCGACGGCGGCATTTTCATCCATTTGTACTCTTCATCCAGACATTTGGGTCGGGACCTGCAAACAAAAAGTAATCGGTTTAGCATTTTTGGAAACCGTTAGTAGTCTCTGAACTTTAGCATTCCGAATGCTTATGCATTCCGAAAATTTACTTTCTACTAAAAACGCTTGCAACTTACTAATATTGTACTAACATCTCCCTTTTTCAGTTATATTCATATGCGCCCGTAAATAGAGGAATGGGATTTATACTTCATGATTTTTTCTCCTTAGTATTTCCTACATAAATAAAGAACATATAATTAGATTTAAAATGTTGTTCAGGTACAGCATAACTAAAAAACAACTCGGAATAATTCAGAAAATTGTATGTTCTTAAGACGGTTTCTGTATGTAATAATGAATTTAATATTACAATCATATTAAGCTCCGTAAGGCTTGCTGAACATGTATTAATTTTGCCTTCAAAACAAGAAAATAAAAGAAAGTTTTAAATAACATATATTTGAAGAGAGGTATTATTTTCACACAATTAAAACTTGGCTAAAAATATGAATTTGCTTCCAACAGAAATTGCTTGCACAGCAAACTCGTGGCATAGATGCTTCACAGGGCAAGTGTAGCTCAGGCTGAGTGGTTACTCATACGCCCTGTCGAACAGTAGTTTTATAAAATCAGTCGAGACAGAGGCCTGTACGTCTATACAACTAGGTATAAAGATGTTCTGACAAGAGCTTACAAATGTATATACATAAGTGTGTATGTTTTAGTATATATAACATGAGGAAGATGTTCCCATTTATTAATTTTCTAGGTGGTTATGGGATTATGGAAAAATATGTAAACATTTTGCACAGATAATTATATGATCAACAATTGTCTAAATAATTATGAATATGATAAAATTTACGGTTCAAATAGCGCAAACCCCATTTTTTTCCATGACCCCGAGTAAATTTTTCCAGATTTCGAATCAATTAGGATTGACCGATTGACCTGATATACTCAGAACTACAACTGAAAAGCTCTTATTGGATATAAGTGATTATACTTCAATTATCAACGAAATAGTACCATTTGTTTTGAAGGTTTTTAGAGTTTCTTAGTCCATACAGTTCACACATTATGTTTGGAGAAAATTATAAGCCATTTCGACATACGAATGAACATATGTACATATGTTTAGGTGCTAGTGACCTTCGCCAAGTGCAGAAAAAAATTTAGAACATAAACTTATCTCAATAAACACTTGCTTATTGAGGGAATTTTTATCAGAAATCAATTGATTCCCTTTTGAGAAGATGAACATAGTCACATGCATATATACATATATAAAGCAATTTAACCAAAACATGTAGTTGCGTGAATTGTTAGGAGTATATACTAAGTATGTGTATATGGAGAAAGATATATGGCCTTATTATTCTCAAAACTGAACTGCTTTTGTATTACTTCTCGGTTTTGCTTGAATAGTTGGTACACTACGTCAGTATTGGAGTAAGTTGGAATACATACAACACACATGGGGTACATATGTACATATGTACATATTGTTGATACTGGACATCTAGTTAAATTTTTTCTTGCTTTTCTTTTTACCACCACCACTGATGCAATGAATGATGTAAGCATGTAGTTGTGAAAATTGGTTAAAAGGTGGAAAATTTATTGACGTTTTTAGTTTATCTTATATGCGTGTACGTATTTTGGAAAAATATATAGGAATAAAGCTTAATTTTTTTTTCTTGTTTCGTATTCATTTTGTTAATTGAACGGCTTTAAATAAATCAAATTATGCTTGCATATTATGGGTTTACAAACCTATATCTAAGAAAAGTTAAACTATGTATGTATATTATTTTTTCCTTTTGTTTGATTTATTCGTTACTTATTTTTTCTTTTGTGGAACTGTTGCTCGCTTGCCAGTTTCTTTGCAGTTCTAACTTTTCGTTATTTAGTAGATATATTGGCTTGAAACCGCCGAGTTTTCCACTCGCTAAAATTGTACCGTTAAACTCGTTGTTCCTTTATCTTTTTCATTGTAGTATAACTCCCACTTAATTTCTCTAACGTACATGCCTAGTTGTTCCTATGGTTTCATTATTCCCGTTTATCCTCGTATTCCTATTCGTTGAGATCTACCAAAAAAGGTGCAATTTTTAAGGTCGAATGTCGTTTTGTTGTTAAGGTAAATCTTAAAACTGTTATATCTTTTCTTCTTCTTCGTAATTTTCATTTCCCTTTTTGATTAATTTAAAGAACCAAGCATTCTGAAAATTTTTCTCTATTTTAAAGCACCTATTTGTGTTTTCTTAAAATTTCTTAACTTTTTGAATCTGCATCGGCATCCACTTGTTCGAATATATTTCATTCGTTGGAATATTTCGACTATCCATGCTACTTTTTCCATCCCACCCGAGGCCTTTGTTTGAATGTATGTACATATAAACTTCGTATTCTGGATACCACAGAATTATGCATATGCGCATACATATGTACAAATATGCCACCAATCTACATACATATATGTTTTTGTGTAGCGCTTTAAAAAGGAATTTCACGTTAATTTAGAAGCTCATTTATTAAACACTTTCACACAATTCTTCGTTGTATCAAAAAAAAATAAATTTTTAAATTTTTTCTTTGCATTTTCCTTTTCCGCATACATATGCTCATATGAGTATAGATTTATATTGTATCTACATATGTATATGCATATACATATGTATACTTTCAAGTATTGAACTTCATTTGTGGAGTACTTTTTTACACTTGAAGTAATCTTTTGAATACTGGTTTAACATAAGGTTATTCAATTTTTTTACGTATATATGTATATATATGTTTCTATATATAATAAATACATATGCAACGTATATGCACGAATTCTTATTTCTCAACTAACAAATCGCACAACTTTCAAAAGGAGAAATTTTCCATCTTATCTGCCATCCCAACACATTTGCTGTACACTTGCCTTTCTGGTTTGCTGATTTTGGTCGTACGGCACTGATCGTTTCACCCCGCTCGCGCACTTTTCGCTTATGAGTGTAAGTACAAGTCTGTGGATGTAAAATTTGTAATTTTTTTCTTACTCCGACGTTCTGGGTATAGAAAATTTGTATACCCAAATTTTTCCACTTTTCCTGTTTCTCATGATTTAAAGGTGTTTCCAGACATCACTTTATTTTGATTTTCAACAACTTCATTACTAAAACTAAAGAATAATTAATAGGTACACGATCCTAAATAAATATGTATACGCTTATATATTTCTGTTCAAAATTCACGTTTTCATTTTATTCTTAAAAAAAATTGTAATCTTTCGTATCAGTTTGTTCTACATCCTTTTTATGTAGATAATTAGTTACATTTTTCAACTTTTACAGTTTTTGCACAATAATTATCAAACGGAATAACGCTACATATTCGATTGAGTGAAAATTTCTTTTCTGTAGGTATAAAGTTTTTTGTATGAAATTTTAGATGTTCTTCCGTGCGTTAACCGTACGAAGAGCACATCGCTGGTGCTCTGTGTGTTCGTTCGCTAACGATGGTGTGCTCTGAGCTGTTGGAAATTGCTTACATCTTTTGGACTCTATCAATCAACAGTGGCAATACCAATCGGGTTGATAGAATTGCATCGAAGAATATAAGAAATATAAACGAACAGCGAAAATATGTACATGAAGATGCATACCTACATAAAAGCATATACATATGTATCCTGTGGGGTGGGCATTTCTTCTAAATATTGCCAAATATTGGGGCATTTACAATTTTGACTTTTTGAGAGCACTTCTCAAATTTTCTCATTTTCCACGTGCTCTCACGAAAAATGCTTTTATAGCCATAAAGCGCGTGGAGCACTCGTACATACCTGTATTATATATTTACGTATTCTTCTCTTCATACACAATATAAGTTGTGTATCTTCGTGATATATACTAAATATAAATACATGTTTATATTATATATCTACATACATATGTATAAACAAAATATTATCTTTGATATTAAATTTTAACAATTTCACGCAAACGGTTTTAATCTTCAAAACTAAAAATATCTCTTTCTAATGCTTCCAGCAGACACGCAATTCAAAATACAACAATTCATACCTGTTGGAAGTAGTCGGCAGTTTTCAATAATTCGCCTGCAAATATGAATATGCACATATGTACACGTATGTGTATGAAAATGTGTACATGAGAAACTAAGCATTCTCACACTTCCTCTCTAAAATCTCAATTCATGCTATTCTCTTCAACCCCTATAATTTTTAAATCACCTATTTTACTTCCAAAAATGTTCTAAAAACCATTGTTGTGGCGAAAAAAAGTATATATATACAAACTGAACCACTGAACCATTTGCTTTATACCAGACTTTATAGAGAGTCTGCGCTTTCTGTCCCTGGCTCTCCCGTTTTTTATGCTAAGCTGGTATAAATATGAGATTATTTTCTAACCAGAGTAAATAAGGTGAGCTTCTAGATCTAACTCTAAAATTAATCTTCCTACGAGCATATGTGCAGAAGCAAATGTGAATGAAAAGTTTACACATCATAAAAAAAATTATATCAATGATAGTATTTCCTTTGAAAGGACTTTATTATGGCTTAAATTTTGTTAAAAATATTAAATTAAATTATGTTCAATATTCATTCAAATAAATCAAATTTTTCAACAAAACGAATAAAAATATTATAAACGCTGTGAAACCGTTGTGTACTGTGGTTAGCTCCGAGAAAGTGATATCGCATGTTGCTTAGGGCTAGACCAGGATAAAGGTGCTAGACAAACTCTTCCTTCTCAGATCCTTGTAACTGGGATATAAATCATTTGAGAAACATTTCATTTAAAAATCTTGGAAGAGTTTATAGAGCCCTCGTCCGAATGTTGAAGAAAATTTTCTGTCATAGACTCTAGCTTTTCTTGTGCTTTCTATCGTGTTTTGTCGCCAGTTAAGCTTGCTGCCTAAATTTGATAAGTTGTATTACTAAAACTTATATATTAAAAATTAAAAAAAAAACCTTAGTATCTAAACAATATTGCATATTTTCACCATCGTAGAAGTTTACAAGTATGGTGTATAAGTTTCAGCTACTTGCTGTACTTATGTAATTATTTAATTAAAAGCACGCACTTTTGTTTTTAAATATTATATATATATATTTATTAAA